ACCCAAAGACACTCCCCTAGCTTTGCCATTGCCCTTTCTCTGCCCGGCACAGGCCCTGGGGCCCGGTCTGGAGTTGACCTCCTCCTCTGGGCAACCGCTGGGCCCTGCTGCTGTCAGGACCCAGACCCTGCACTGCTGCTGGGTGGCATCTCAGCTACCCCTGAGCAGCTCCTCCTGGGTCCTCTCCCCAAAGCCAAATCGACTTGTCCTAGAAGGCGGGGAGCAGGAGGTGGGGGCAGGGCAGAGAAAGTAAGCAGGAGGGAGCAAGGGAAGGCAAGAGGGTCTCATCTACCCATATCTGCACCCCTCACCTGTAGGGGCTCTAAGACATTCCACTGGTTTCACCTGTTCTTTCTTATTGCTTCGCTCCCTCGCTAAGGTGAGCAGCCAAGACCAGCCGGTCAGCCCCTCCCCCCACATTTCCTTCCCTTGTTCCCATACAAGCATTCTGGGGCAGTCCAGCACCCAGCTCCGAGGTCTGTAAGGAGACAAGAGCATCCCAGGGACACCTTATAAACGATCAAACAAGTCACCGGTGCAGGAAAAAGACGCTTCTATGTATTTCCCTTTTTGTAATTGGGTTTTGTAACTGCTTCTCAGTGCAGTCTACATATTAGTACAGAGGCACCGACACACAGATAAATAAAATAACAATTGATATAGATAGATGCATATTTGCAAGGAGAGGCTCAACTGTTATTTTTTGGACACTGCTCACAATTCTTTAAATGTGCAGCGTAGTAACTAACGCTAACAATAACATACCGCATACTTGAAAACTGCTAGAGAGTAGATCTTAAATATTCTCACCACACACTCAAAATCACAGCTGTGTGAGGTGACAGATGTCAATCAGCTTGCTTCTGGGAACCACCCCCAACACAGATATACGTATCAAAACACCATGTAAATTTCTCTGTCAAGTAAAAATCAATAAAGCTGAAATAAGTACTTTGAAGGAAATAAAGGACAAAAAGTATAAAGCGAAGGCAAATTTTCAAAGAAGGAAAAGAGAAAGAGAGGAAGAAAGAAGGAGGAAGGGAAGGAAGAGAGGGAGGGAAAGAAAGACGGCCTGGCCACCTCCAGCCTCGGCCATCGCACCAATGCCCTCCAACTCTTCTCCCTGCGGATTCACTGCTGCCCCCAGGAGCCCTCCTGCGGCTTCTCCACCAGTGCCTCGCCCAAAACACACACCATGGTCCAGCCCAGACTCCCAGCTCCTCTCCGGGTTCTCCTGCCACCTCCCTCCCCCACCCAGGTCCCCCAGTCCTTCAGTGGCTGCACTAAGTGCCACCTCCCTTCCAGAGGTGCCTCCGCCCCTCCCCACGCACGAGCAGACGACACAGCACCTGCATTAAGACTTAAGGCACTCACTGCTTAACGTAGGGAACCCTTGCCCTGTGCCACACACAGTATTTTATAAACAGTAAGTGACCCATAGGTGACAGACAGATGGAACCATCAAAGCAAAACTAGCTGTCAACAGCTTATCTGTCATCTCTTCTCAAAAGAGTCTTGTAAGAGGGAATTGCTGGCCCCCAGTCCAAAGATGCAAACACCACTCAATGGCCAGGGACAATCATTCAGGGGCCGTGTGTGCCACGCAGCTGGGATGTATCACTGGTCAACTAGGGCCGATACCCTCAGCCACAGAACTTAAAGTCACACTCTGCCGCTGCTTTGGCCCCAGTGAGCTCATCATATGCTAGACTAACAGCTTTATAAACTGCATTTGTTCTTGACAGCCCTCCAAAATCACACCACACACACACACACACATACACACGTCGCCAAAGAGTTCATGGAAATGCATATTAGGATATAAAAACTAGGCATGCGATTCAAAATTTTTGCACCAAAATAAACATCTCTTCGTTCAATTTTCCATGAACTTTCTGTGACGCCCCCTCTGCATATCCCTCTTCTTGAGAGTACAGGGAAACAGGGTGTTGAAAAGCACAATTAAGTCTTGTCTCTGCTTAACCCGGTGTTGCAACTCTAAAAATTACACCCTTGGGCAACCAGCTCTCAAAAGTACAATAAGTAAACAACAGTCAAAAAGCCTGGCAGTCAGGCAATCAGCTTGTTTTTTAACAGAGCACACAATCATTGTCAGGATCATGTATTTAGCTCCTTAACTGCCTCTACTGGACTGCCTAATGGTCGGCCAAAGATAGCAAACCCTTGTCCCAGGATTGTGTCAATATGACTTTATTTGGGAAAAGGCGACATAGTGGATTGTGAGATGAGATTAACCTGGACTATCTGTGCCCACCCTAAATGTGCTCCCCAATGTCCCTTACAAAATAGGAGCAGAGGGAGATTCCGCACAACACAGAAGAGAAGGCCATGGGAAGGAGGAAGCAGAGGCCCGAGTGCAGGGGCCACAAGCCAAGGGATGCCAGAAGCCAGCAAAAGCCACAGGGAAGCAAGCAAGGATGGCTGGACCCCCAGAGGGAGCTCAGCCAAATCAGAATGCTTTAAGGGCTGATTCTGAGGTCAGAGTGCTATTTAAAGCAATTGTCATTCTACGAGTCTGCTGTGGGGACTGCTTCCCATGTTGGAGCATTCACTCCTTTATAATTCTATTACTATTGCCAGACACTTAATCCTATTCATATGATCACTTTAACACTTAATCCTATTCATATGATCACTTTAACACCTAAGATGGTATTTTTATCACCCAGCTTAAGGGGATTTGGGGTCCCATGACAAGCTTTAAACTATACCCTTAGAAGTAAGTCCATAAAAATGTATGCAGAACTATACAGCTTTACAGTTATAAACTTCATACACTTCACAGCTACAACTTTAAGAACATAGTGAAATCTTCCCACCATGCCCACCCTCCCATCCATACTCGGCCCAAGTGCTTGGGCCCCTGCACCCATATGGGAGACCCAGATGGAGTCCTGAGTTCCTGTTGGCCTCACCCAGCCCTAATGAGGAGTTGCAGCCAGAGAAATGAACTCGTGGGTGGAAAATCCATCTCTCTTCTTTCCTTCTCCCTCTCTATCTCTGTCTCTTCCTCGGTCACTCTACCTTTCAAATAAATGAACAAATAAATACATCTTAAAAAGACAAAGAGTAAAAGAGAATACACCGTCAAATGGCAGTGAAATAAGCAAGCTGGGGGTGCTCCAGACAACAGAAGGGAAAGCCCAGTGGCTGCCACTGGGCCTCATTGATTCTACTGAGGCCTTCCCAGCCCACTCTGGGGTGTGTGTGTGTGTGTGTGCATGTGTGTGCATGTGCACACACAAGCATATGTGTATATTCTGGGGGTAAAAAACAAGACTCCAGCTCGTCAGCACATCCAAGCTGCAAAGACCCCCAACATTTTACAAAGGAACCCATTTCCAGAGATTTCCAACAAGACTCACAGCAAGGCCTGGCAATGTGGCAGCTGCAAGGGATTACTCAGCACTCATGAAGTAATGGCCTGTCTCACAAAATACCAACACTACTCTCGCCCCTCTTCTGTGTCCAAAACTAACAAAGCCTACCAGGGATGCATAAAATTAGCAAAGCAACTTTCTAATAAACAGCTAAGTTCATGAGAAAGAACTGCAAATCCTGCAGGTCAAAGAAGGGAGCAGATCCAAATTCACCAGGCAGCAGCAGCGGCAGGGGGTGTGGGAGCGGTGGATTAAGCTGCCGCTTAGGAAGTCTACATCCCACACCTGGAGTGCTGGCTCGAGTCTTGGCTGCTCCGCTTCCAATCCAGCTTCCTGCCCATGTGCCTGTGAGGCAGCAGAGACGGCTCAAGTGCGTGAGTACCTACCATCCACCTGAGTGGAGTTCCCAGCTCCTGGCTTTTCTGCGTAGCCCAGCCCTGGCTGTTGTGGGCATCTGGAGGGTGAGCAAGTAGACAGAAGACTGCTTCATATTCTCTCTCCTCTCTCTCTCTCTCTGCCTTTCAAATAAACGGAGTGAATATTCTTTAAAAGGAAATAAATTCACAAGGCAGCAGCTGTAGGGGTAGAGAAATAAAGGATAAAGGACAGATCACAAAACCCCAGGGACGAAAGAAAGAAGCAGAGGGCTTGCCCAGCATGGAGTGGGAACGTTCTTGCGTCCAAGGCAGACACAAGAGAGGACACAATACAGGAGAAGAAAAGGATCCGTGTGGATCCCAACCCATCGGGACCAAAGCAGCTGCATAAAGAGATTCACGCTGGAGTCCGTGCTGAATTTCACCCAGAATGAGGGCTGCAGGGACCCCTTGGGGCCCAGCAATGGTGCACACTTCCAGAACCCAACTGGTCCCTGAGATAATGCCAACACCAGGCGCACAGCG